GCTGCATTAGCATAGCGCAGTATAGCATACCATAGCCAAGCATAGCATAGCATAGCATAGCGCAGCATAGCATAGCATAGCATAGCATAACATAGCATCGCTTAGCTTAGCATAGCAGAGCATAGCGCAGCTTAACATTTCATAGCATAGCATAGCTTAGCATAGCACAGATCAGCATGACACATCATAGCTTATCATATCATATCATATCATAGCATAGCGCAGCATAGCATAGCACATCATAGCATAGCATAGCATACCATAACATATCATATCATATCATAGCATAGCACAGCGCAACATAGCATGGCATATCATAGCATAGCATAGCAACTCATGCTGTAGGGTCGCACTGGGGTAATTATTTCCCTGTCAGCTGGTCCTTCATTCAGTCTGCCTGACTGCCTGCATATCTGTCTGTCTGTCTGCCTGTCTGCCTGTCTGACTGGCTGTCTATATGTCTGCCTGCCTGTCTGTCTGTCTGTCTTGCTCTTGCTCTTGCGCTCTCTTCCCCCTCTTTCTCATGCGACATCCTCACGTGCTCGCGCTTGCTGGTAAACAGAGGTATTTCCGGGTCCTGCATTCGCGAACATTGCCACGGCAGGTCACGTGCGTTTAGATCCGATGCGTGATGCTGGCTCTGGGACGCAGAGTGACATGGCTGTCGACGAGACGGCGAGTCTGCGCCAGCGCTGAGCGCCAGTCTGGGCAGTCAGCGTCCAACCGCGGACAACACGCCTGGCCACTTGCGAGACGTGCGGGCCCGCCTTTGGCGCCACGGGATTCCGCCTAAGCCCATGGGGCGCCTGCGCAAGTGCGCGGTGGGAGTGCACAAGCTGCTTGGTTGGGTCCACGCCGACGGGGGCCATTTTCAATCCCCTCGGCCGCGCCACCCAGGAGGATGCCGACGCAGCCCGGCTGCGTGTTCAGGCCCAGGCGCTGCCTCGGCTGGTGCGGCCGCTGGAGGGGCCGCCAGAGCGTTCCTCGCTTGCCAGCACACCGCGCCATTGCACCCAGCCTGGGAGGAGCAGCTCCTTCCCGCCGCCGCCTTGTGGGATACACAACGCTGCCCTCAAAGCTGACACGACCACGTTCGTGTAGGTCCCGCGCCAGTTCCTGGGAACCCTCCAGGGGGCGCGGCACAAAACGCTCGAGGTCCTAAACAGTGCCCGTGGGACTTCGGAGGCCGAGAGAGACTGGGAACTTGTCCTATTCATAGACATGCTCCTCTTGTCCAAATCGTGCGAGGCGGCTACGTGTGGGGAACTGCTCGAGGAAAGGTTCGCGTGGTTATGGGGCGGGCATTGGGCAGCCGTCTGGGCTTCCATTCGATTTGGCAGACGTGTCCCGAGGTGGAGCCGCGAGCAAACTGACAAACAACGAGCGGCTCGGGCCCAGATTCGCTGCTTCCGAGGAAGAAGGGCGATCGCTGACGGCAACCACCAGCGCGAAGCTCGCCCCGGCAACGCCAGAGACCCTGATAAATGTCCACGACTGTTTCCCTGAGGACGCTGGCGCGCTGGCCGCGTGGGGCGCCCGCTCGGGCTCAGACGAGGATTTGCTCCAGGCGGGGTAGGAGGAGATCCGGCGCTTCCCTCGCAGACCAGCTCGGTTCAGTGCCCCATGCCTGTTCGGAACGAGGGTGGAGCACTTGGAGACAGCAGCGGCCAGCCAGGAGACTTTGCAGCTCCTCTCCGAGGAGCTCTCCTGGGTGACCATCGGACTTCTTCTGGCTGGGACGCTGCAAGACCTGCGGGTCGGCGAGGTCATCGCCTGGGGAGGCCCAGCCTTCGTTGGTGAGCTCAGCATGGAGGCGATTCGGCCTGAGGCCGTCGGTCTGGGTCCGCAAGGGGCATCTGGCGGCCGCTGCTTGCGAGCACCAGTGCGGCGTGGAGAGGAAGAAGGACGCGGACTTCTTGTTGCAGTGCCTCGAGGCACGCGCGGAGGTCCGACCCGCGGCCGTCTTCCTGAAAGTTGACCTCAAGCCGGCTTTCCAAAGAGTGAAACGCCAACCCGCTACCGCAGCGGTGGCGCGACGCGACTCTGCAGTGGCCGTCGCCCAGGCCACCTGGTGCGGGGTTCAGGCGGGCCGCTATTGGAGAGACGACGGCGGCGCGCTGCATTCAAGTTGCCATTCGGCAGGGGCTTTGACCGAGGCAACCCGCTGCCTCTTGCTGGTTTTCCACCCAACAGTCGGCGGGGGTCTCGCGGCGAGACTCTTGCCGACTTTTGGGTGGATTCCAGGGGCTGGATCCTGCTGCCCTGCTCTACTCCTACCTCGGCGGCGCATGCCTGGTGGTCGAAGCCGGCCTCTCCCCTGTCGTCCTCGGTGTCTTGGTGGCCGCCCATCGAGCCCTGCGGCTTGGCGCTCGACCGCGCGAAGACTGCTGTCTCGTCCCCGAGCGCGGGCGGGGTCGCGCCCCCTGCGCGGCTGCTCCCAGCGCATGGCAACCGCCTCGGGCCGCGGGGGGGCGCGGGGGATAGTCGCGCGGGGCGCGCGCCGACTGCCTTGGCTAGGCGACCCAGCGGCTGCAGAGGCAGGGGGGGGGCGCTCCATGGGCCCCGCCGGTCGGGCGGGCCCGGCAAAGCAAGCCGGCGGGGCGCTGCTGCTGACCTGTGCTGGCGCCTCCAGCCAGCGCGCCCCGCGGCGGGAGCTGGCGGGCGAGGGGGCCGCCCGGCGCTGCGACGCCCGGCTAACGCGCTGATGGGGGATGTTGCTGAGGCGCGGTTTGGGTGGCGAAGCTAAGGGGCTCTTGAGCTGGCCGGCGCGCCGTGGCGGCCTCGGCGGGCAGATGACCTGCTCGCGGGGGAGCGCTGCGCCCCTGGCGCGGCCGAGGATGTAGTCGGAGACCTGGGCTGCAGCTCGCTGCGCGGCGCCGTGGAGCGCCAGCCTGCCGCCGCGCGCGAGCTGGGGGAGCGCGGCAGGGTCTGGCCGGGATGGGGCGGGCGGCGGAACGCTGGCTGACGGCCCAGCGCGCGAGCTCACGCAGCGGCCCAGTGGCCGACGGCCAGGCTGGCTCGGCTATGGGGAAGGTGCAGAAGACATTGCTCTGCGCCCCTGCAGCGTTTGCCCTTCCTCCAGCAGGCCACTCTGCGAGGGCACGCGGTGCCATTAGCGGTGGCCTTCTCGGCCGCCCCGCCGGGGCGCCCTGTGCTCTGCGCGCTTGAGGTCGCGCGCTTGGGGGCGGCTGATCTGCTTCAGTCAGGAGGGGAACAAACGCACAGACACAATTAATCGTCGACCCCCAGAAAATAGGGGACAATATATGGGAAGTGGGGGGAAGGCGATAACCCCAAACATATGGGAAAATATGGGGAAGTGATTTGTTTGTGTATTTATTTGTGTCCTTTGGCCCCTTCATTCAGCTGCGCCTCCGGGGGCCGGAGTGCCCCCGGAAATGACTCGGGGCAGCGACGGCCCGCTGCTGCCTGGAGAACGCCGGCGGCGAGGTCTGCGCGGGGCCGCGGAGCCGCTTGGCGACCCTGGCTATCGCGGCGCCGCTTGACAGAGTGGCGGCGGGGTGGTGCGCGGGCGCGGCAGACTGGCCCGGCCCGTCGGGCTGCCGCGGCGCTGGAGGCATGAGCTCCCGGTCTGCGAGCAGCGGCTACCGCTTTGGGACGGGCCGCGGCCGGGCCCCCCCGGGTGCGCGGATTGCGCCGTGCTCGACCTCGAGTTCCAAGACGACGACGGGCGTCGCTGGCTCGACGTGTCCGCGCGGCGCTCTGCTGCGGGCGCCAATGCGGAGCAGAGGGTCGTGGCCCGCCGCGACGTCGAGGCGAGGCGGCGTGGTGAGCGAGACAAATTCGCGCGCTACCCCGGCGAACGCCTCCAATCATCCTCGCGGTGGGGGGGTGGCTCGGGGTCGAGGCGCGTCTCTGGCTGAAGGCTGAGGTGCGCCGCTTGCCCGCCGCCGTGCAGGCCCGCGACTTCGCTCGCGCGCGCCGCGTACTCCCCCGCGGCATGCAGGGCGAGCTGGCGCGCCGGCGTCGCGCTCCAGCGGGGGCGACGCGCGGGCGCTGGGGAACTGGCGGCGACTGCTGCGCCGGGGGGCGGCGACGGCGGCTCTTGAGGCTGCGGCGGCGGCGGCTGCGGCGGGGCGCGGGGGGCGACGGCGACGCACTGGGTGGGCGGCCTTCCGCCGCGCTGCTGCGTGCCGCGTTGCTGCAGGCCGCCCTGCCAGCCTGGCGCGGCGCGGCTGGCCGCGAGGAGCGGCGGCGCGCAGCCATCTGCGCTGGCCGGAGCGACCCCCGCTGCGATGCCGCGAGCTGATGGCGCGGGCCGCCGAGCTTCAGGCGGCCAGCGACCTGGGCGCGGCGACGCCCCGCTGCTGCGCTGGCTGGGGCTTGGAGGGCGGCGACGAGAAGGCGCCGCGCTGCGGGGGCGTCGGTTCGGGGACGTGCAAACCCACTCCTTGGGAGAACTCTTGGTGCGGGGTCTCTCCAGGGATGGGCGCCAGGCGCTGCTCTGTCCGAGTCGCTGGCTCGGGCTTGCGCGCCCCCCTGTTCCTCGAGGAGCAGACATTCGAGCGCAGGGTCTGTCCGTCCGTCTATCTGAGGGACTGATTGTCTGTCTCTGTCAGTCTGTTTCTCTATATCTCAATATCTCTGTCATGCTCCCTCGCTTTCCCTATTTCTTTCTTTCGCGCTCTCCGCCATCTTCGGCCTCATGTGCAGTCTTTCCGATGAGTGTGAACGGCGCCGTCTCCAATGTCGCAGGACGTTGCTACCAAACGCGGCTGGCAATGAATTTGTGGAGTAGGGAATGCGCAAAGGCAAGGCGGGGTGCGGCCATGAAACACGAGGAGGAGGAGGAGGAGGAGGGTCGTTACGGGTCGCGCCCTGGGGACCCCGGCCGTGGACCCAGGATCCCCGACCCATGGCCCAGGATCCTTCCCGGCGGAGAAAGGCGAACACATGGACCCCCCGTAACCCCAGTACCAAGACCCTGTAACACGGGGGCCCCCTCTCACTCCGACCCCGAATGCGGCAGTCGCTGCAGGCGGCTGTTTGGCAGGTCTGTGCTTGCATCTAGGGGGAACTCGATCTCCGCCCCCCTCGCTGCTTTGGGATCATTGCTTTGGTGTGTGTTGGGGTCGGACCTCTCCATTCTTGTCAGAACATGGCTCCTGTTGCTGTAAGTTCCTTGCACTTAATGCAATGATGGTATTGAGCATCTAGAGAGGGCAGAAGCGAGGAGGGAGGACGAATAGGGATGGAGGGGTCGGGGGAGGCTTTGCTCGCCCCTCGCTCCCTCTTTCCATGTCGGGCTCCGCCACGACCGGCATAAGTCTAACACGCCTAAGACAGTCCGAGGCCCAGCTGGCCCAGGATGGCACCCTGACAAATGCGATTTATCAGTCTGCGGTGCAGACAGACGGCAGCCCGCTGTCGAAGCAGCCTAGCGTGTACTGATGCTAGGCCGACCTGGATATATAAAGCCAGCTGCACCCCAGAGCATGAGGAATGCACGTCCAGTGCCACGACGGTCTCACATTTGATGACCATGCGGGCAATGCTTTGCCTGCTGCAATGTCTGGCAATTCAGCACACTACTATACTTCATAGAGCACCATCCCGGGGAGTCCTGTCCAAGGAGGATTGTCCAGGTCTTCGCGGAGTTGTCCAAGGGTTTGTCCAGCGAGGGCGGCTGTAGAAGGCTTGTTCACACGCTTTGCACGCTAGATCGCTGTAGAAGGCGATGCGCGCGCGAAGAGTTGCGTTGTGTGCGTTGCGTATCTTGCTTTGGCGGCGTAGGCGGTATCCCTCCACGCCATCCTCCACTCTTCGCATGTGTGGTCCGGGGAGCGTGTGCCGTCCTAGCCACTTCGGAAAAAGTCGGCCTGGCATTGCCTTGTAGCTGCTCACCGCGGCCTTGCACACGTTCTAGCCGTAATGCTGGCCTGGTGGCGCCTTCGGGCTCCTCACAGCGGCAGCTGGTTCGGTGGCGCCTTCGGGCTGCTTGCTGCGGCGTGAGTCGCATCGGCCTCTCGTCTCCCTTTTCCTCCTCCCGCCTATTTCTGCCTCTGCTTGTCCTTTTCCTTCTCCTTTTCCTCCCCTTCTCCCTCCTTCCGCTTCCTCCTCCTTCCCGCCTAAGCGTTGGCCACAGTGCAATGTTATGCTGGGATTCTTACAGTCTCCATCTTGGAGGGGTTGTCCGCAATGTCTGGGGGACTGTCCGGGAATTTTACACAGTAGGACTGTTGTCTTTTTTTGTCTGCCACACCTCGTACGAAGACGAAGAGCTCTCGCTGGGCCCAGCTGCGTAGGGCCATCATGGACTACAGGCGGGTGAACAAAATGAGTTCAATACTGTGCGACATCGTCACAGTCGCGCACTTGCCAATACTGTGGAGGATCGAAGGGCGTTTGATTTGAGGTGCAGATGTTTAGGGTAATCGCAGTGCTGCAGGATCTCAGTTTAAGGCCCTCTCTAAGGTCAAGAGTATCTTATGATCGGCCCTACCCCAGTAGGACGGCCAGGAGGCATCGGTTCAGTTGCCGCGCACTGTAACGCGCCAGTGCCAGTGCAGCACTGTCACGAGAGGGTGGGGCGTCTGGTAATTTCGTGCGATGAGTGTTTGTTCTTCCAACTTGCTGTTGTCCGACGCGACGGCGCCGAGCCTACGTTGGGGTAGACAAACATAAATTTGAGGAGGAATTGGAGGAAGAGGAGGAGGAGAAGGAGGATGAGGAGGATGAAGAGAAGAAGAGGACGACGATTTTGATGTTTCAACTTACTTTAGCCTTGATCAGCCGAAAGAATTTCTACCACCAAGCAAGTACCGAAACTGGAGGGCTTGCACGTGTCGGGCCCTGGGAGGCGATACTCGCTCGACACTTCGCCATCCTGTCGGGCAGACACTCTTTCGGTATTGTTCTTGGTGCCCGAAATCATTTCTGGGATGCGGCCCTCCACTTCGATGGGAACAGCATAAGACGAGGATGTAATACACGAGGTGGATGAGGACGCCGCCTTCGGGGGGAGCCCCCCCCACGCAGATAAACGACCGTACAGTGGAGGCGCGCATCAAGAAACCAAATGCTTTTCGCCAGGGTTCCCTGGGTTTCTTCGATCCTCGCACTACGCGGTGACTTCCCGCGGCCGTCCAGAAGCTGCCGCGCTCATGATGTTCTAGGGTTTTCCCTCGGGTGTACCTCGCGCGCGGGCTGTCATGGTAGGGCGTCTTGCTATGGTTTCTTGCGACCGCGCCCGCACTGCCGCGGGACCCGTGCGTGTAGGATGAGAGGCGGAGGAGGAGGGGGGGAGGAGGAGGAGGAGGAGGAGGAGGAGGATGGAGGAGGAGGAGGAGGGGAGGAGGAGGAGGCGGAGGAGGAGGAGGAGTATCGAGGGGAGGACGTCGTGCCGCGGGACGCGGCGGCCCGCATGTTCCTGGCGGTGCTGACGCTGGCGACGGCCGGGGACCTCTCCGTCGCCCAGTCCCGCCCCTACGGGCCGATCGAGCTCGCCCTGCATTGAGGCTGCTTCTCCTCCACATCCTC